AAAATCTTTAAAAAAAAAAAGAAAAATGAGATATCTTAGAGTTGTTGGCGGTTGGTTCAATGTCTGGCATATAATATGGGTTTCAGTAAAAGTTCTGACACCTTAGGGGAATGCTACACACCTCTGTTTAATTCCTTATATGGGCTGATTTGAAATGTATCTCTCTGAGGACAGTCTTGTTTTCTTATTCCTTGCTTTTATCATCCAATCACTCATTCAGGCATTCATCTCTGCAACAACTGTTGGGGGCATATCTGTTTTGTACAAGACTCTGTTCTAAGTACTTGGGATAATGCAGTGGACAGAACAGAGCGCTGATCCTCGTGGAAATTACATTCTCGTGGTAAAAGGACAGACAACAGACACATAACCTATAGCATGTCAATGCATGCATTTAATGGCATGATGCTTTACCTTTTACCACAATTGTTCTCTGAATCAACGCTCAATTCAATGAACAATAGTATCTTAGAAGTAAAAAAATGTCTTATATTCATTTTTTATTAACCCATCCCAATACTTCTGGGACATTTTTGCAATTCATGGCCAAAAGTAATTCTGGAGTTTCCCCTTTGTGACCCGACTGAGCACTAAGCATCCATTAGCCATTTTAATCTTCTCAACATGCTTCTGAGGTTTTTATTCTCCACGTGACAAAGCAAGAGGCAGCTCAGGAGGCTTCCCTGATTGTGGGGGATATTTTCCGGGTTTGGATTTTATGTGTTCTTCAGCCGCCCAGCGCAGACTTCCTCTCTGGGAGATACTCCCATTGTATGTATTTTTGGTGGTCTCCGTGAACGTGTCCTGCCTCTTCGTATGGACGCCAAGTTATGGAGGTCCTCCTGCTTCTTGCCTCTGGACAGAGGGCAAAGGCGTATGGCCCAGACCCAACCACAGACCCTCCCACTGCACACTCCGAGCGCCGAAGGAACGAGACCGAGACCGTGAGAACCAGGAGCCTGGCCGCAGTGGCCTTAACCACTCAGTGGGAAAACTGTCCGGTGATAAGAGGTCAGGGCCCCAGAAACACATCGCTCCTGGCTTTGGTTTCTACCACCCTTGGTCCTGCTGGTTCTCCCAGCCTGGTGCTCTAATTCTCTGAGCTACCTGATATTTTTTTTTCCAAAAAGGGGCGCCTGGGTGGCTCAGTCGTTAAGCGTCTGCCTTCTGCTCAGGTCACGGTTCCAGGGTCCTGGGATCAAGCCCCGCATCGGGCTCACTGCTCGGCGGGGGGCCTGCTTCTCCCTCTCCCTCTGCCTCTCCTTCTGCTCGTGCTCTCTTTCTCAAATAGATAAAATCTTTAAAAAAAAAAAAAAAAAGTTTTTTCTCTTAAATCAGCCAGAACTGGATTTCACAGCTCAAAACACCGACAGCTAACACATCTAGAAAGTGGCCGGGTCAGTGTTTGATTCTAGGTCTGTCTAAATACAAAGTCTGCGCCTCTCATTGAAGTAAGACAAGTAGGGGATCAGTTACTTATTCGACAGTTATCCTCAGCCCATTGCCCATGTCTCAGCGTCATCTCAGAACCCAAACGTGGGACTGAATTCCGCCGGGACCTGGCAAGAAGCAGTTTTTTGTGGAGCGCTCGATTCCGTCATTTAAAACCCTTCTCCCTTTGTCTTAGTGGCGCATGGAAACTTCTGGGAGCTCTGCAGGATCCTCTGCCCCGAGGCTACCGATCTCCTGTCCCATGCGGATTATTTTTTCTGCTACACTATGCGCTCCCCAGTCCTGTGATACGGTCTCTCATTTCATGTCCTGTTAGTCATGGACTGGCTTTGAAAGGATCTCTGCAGGTTGGAACGATTTGGTTTTAAGCTTAGGTTTAATACAAGAATGACAGAAAGAAAGCAGACTTTGCTCCCCTGTAAAGAAGAGAAGCAGGAAAAGGAAACAGTGGGAAATTACCAGCCTGAGTTTGTCATTCTGTTTTGAAAGGTCAAGGATGTCACCTAACACTGGCCTTGCAGTGAAACTTATTCACACTAATGTGTAAATGACTTATGAGAAGATAAATTGCTAATCCTCTTCAGTTTTTGCACTTTACGATTGAGAGTCGTGGTGCGAATGCTGGGATTGATTGCATTCATGCATTAGAAGAACGGATACTGAAACCTTCTAGAAATACCTAGATCACCCCCCTAGACCGTTGTTTATCTCAGTCTGCTTCCAAAAATGGAATTTAGCGATTCTCCAAGTTCTGTGGGTGAGAATATCTTTTGTTGAGCCCGAGTTCCTTACTGTCTTCCACTCCCTGGCTGCCTTTGGCTCAGGACCATCGCAAGGACTTGGAGAAATCATCTGGGGGGGGAAACAAGCCAAGAAAATGGCCAAGTGGAAGGGTTTCCAGGCCTCTGTCCTTGTTCTTTAATCCCTGCAGCAGCATGGAAGTGTGGGACAGAGCCGCAGAGAACGGGAGAGCATGTCAGTGCAAATTTTGAAATCTTTTCCTGTCCTCAGACCAAAAGTGACCAGGAGTATATGCTATACATTCGTTCATTTATAAAACAAACTTGATTGTGACTTTTGTATCACTCGGTCTTTGAGGATCTTACAATTTAGTGAGCTGGATGAGTCTCGTTGATCTCTGATTTTCCTTCTGTTCTACAGCAGAGTCTCAGAGTGCAAGACAGAGAGGATGTTCACACATGTGACAAATCCTCATTGAGGACCCGGGGTTGCTCACTAGACCCCAACACGGGCTTCTCTCTCCCACTCAGGAAAGTGTACCAGAACGCAACGGGGAGAGAGGGAGAGAGGGAGAGGGACGGAGGAGAGAGGGGGAGGGAGAGAGAGGGAGAGAGATCACTATGGGAGTAACCTCGAATCTAGTCTAAGTGAGAAGCCAAGTCATTTACACATTTTCATGGCTAACGAGTATTAGTAATAAATTATTTGCAACAAACTTCACAAATGACCGTCAGATACACGATACGTCCCCACTAAAAATCACTGCTCTAGAAGGCCAGGGTAGTAATGAATATGCTTTCTGTGCCTAGAATATTCTTGGCACTTTTTATACATTTTTTCATTTCGTCCCAGCCCCCACAATGCTGTTTGCTCAACTAATCCAGTGCTTTCCAACTTTAGTGTGCATCAGAACTACCCAAAGTGCTTGTGAAAACACAGACTGCTGAGCCCCATTCGGTAAGTCTGGGTGGGGCCTGAGAATTGGCATTTCCAACACGTTCCCAGGTCCTGGTGATGCTGCGGGTCCAGGAACCACACTTTGGGAATCACTGATCGAGTCATCCACTCATCATTCGAAAGGCATTTGTTCAGACCTGCCAGGGGCCTGGCACCAAAGTAAAAAGCTCAGTCAAACATTATTTTGTAGGAGCTGGTGTCCACTGAGCACCCGCGAAGGGCTTTCTTATGACCCGATCTACGCCTTTATGACAATCCAACAAATCCTTCCCTCCGTTTCACAGATGAAAACACCACAGCTGGAAGAGATCCAGAAACCTGCTCCAAGACCTGTGGACTCCGGTGTCAGAACGGGGATTGGAATCTGTGTCTGCCGGATGCCGAGTGGCCATCGGACACACCGCCGTATGCTCGGCCTCTCCCACAACACTGAGGAGCTTGCACACTGTTTGGTTGTCAGTCTTTTGCGTATTGAGACGCACACACGTACACACACAAAACTGATGTTCAGAGAGGCCAAATAACCTGCCCAAAGTCACACAGTTTAGGAAGTATCTTAAAACTGAACCTCACTTTGTCTGATGCCACAGTGCTTTTCCCACCATAAAAACCATTTCTCCACGCTCTCTAGATCGAGATCTATCTTAATCAGAGCCAGGAGAAAGACTAGGACCCCCGTTAACCAGAGTGTGCAGAGAACGGCTAGGTCTGTGCAACGTCTCTGTTAACTAAGCTGCATCTCGTGCGTTAACTTACTCGAGGGTCTTCTAGCAGCTGGGGGCTACTTTCCACCCGAAGTCAGCACAGTCTGATGCGATGTTTCCCTGATGATTCAGGATCCTGCGTGCCCAGAACCATCGCAGGAAGAGTGCTCGTTACTGAGAAATGCCTGAGGGTGTTGCAGAAGATGCAGGGGGCCGATCGAATTTGGGGGGGGGGAGGGGGCCCGTTACCAAGGAGGAATTAAACTGTACTCTAACCACTGACCTCTTCTGTCCTCAGAATGGACAAAGGCCCCCACACTGGGACTCATCAAACGTTTCCATTGAATTGGGTTAAAATTAATCAAGTTTACCCCAGTTTGTGGAAGCAGCTGACAAACTTCGTTAAACCTGAGTGTTTTTCTGCCTTTGTGACTTAGTAAATCACAAGGAATGAAGCTTTTTCCCTGACTCCTGTGTACCCTTGTGTTACCCCGTCATCAGGGAGAGAAACGAGCTGTATAATTACCTTTTGAGACATGAGTCATCCCTGCTCCAAGGGCCCAGACCTGTTTGATGCTATAAAAGCAGCTCGAGGTCGAAGTGCAATTGCGCATTGTCTGCCTCGCCCCGGGCTGATATAACCCCGAGCTGCCCCGAGGAGATGAAGGTGCTCCCCGCTTCGGGCCTGGCTCTGCTGCTCACCACGGCTCTCAAGTTCTCCACGGCAGCCCCCTCCCTATTTGCAGCCACCCCCAGGACCTCACGGAACAACTACCGCCTCGCACAGGTTTGTGAATCTTTACACAATTCCTCCTCCCGCCCCGGAAACCCTGCAAGGGTAAAACAAGAAAACAAGGAAAAATCGTTATTGTTGTAAAACAGCTCATAAGCGCACCGGAGCCGAGGAGAGACTACCTCCCACACGGCTAAGACCCATGTTGGTGCTCACGGGGGGTGCACGAGGCATGACGAAATGAACGAGTCTCCAGGTAGCTCGCTTCATACAGAAATTGAAGTGACTTGCAAAAACCCAAGCAAGACAAAAGAGACGAGGTATTGGAGGAATAATGTCAGGGGGAAATAAGGGCAGAAAAATCACCCCCGAGGCGTAAGTTTGCATGGGCGAGGTAGGTTATCAGCACAGTGCCAAGCTTCCTGGCGGCACCGGAGAGATTTCCTGGGTTCACACGTTAGAAAAGGGCTCCAGCGTTCTGCGCCGACTCGATCCAAATCTAAAGTGACCCGTCTGTCCTGGGCGCCGACCCGCTCGGCCCGTGAGAGCCTTTCCTCTCTAAAGCATGTTCCCAAGGACCTGCTTTATGGACACTTTCTGTATTTTCCTCTTTCTCAAAGATCTCTCGGAACTGGTTGGAAAGGATGGGATACAAATAAGTCACGTTAAAATTTTTGCAACAATTATGTGACTCAAAGTGATTCAATGTTTATTTGCTTCCAAGCGGTTTTTGCGTTTAAGAGAAGGTGGCGATCTGTCATCTAAAGAAACATCTCTAGTGGCGCCCAGCTGGCTCGTCGGCAGAGCGCGCGACCCTTGATCTCGGGGTTGTGGTTCGAGCCCCACATCGGGTGGAGGGATTACTTTAAAATCTTGGGGGGGAAAGTGTCTAATGACGGAACTCCCAACGTTAGTGGAGGTGTGTGGATGAGATGTGTTTGGGCCAGGACCTGTGTTTCGACTGTCCGTCGAACGGGAGCACATCTGTGATTGCTGGCCGTGCTTCAGGTGGCGTTCCCGCCCACCTGCTGCCCCTGTGGACGCACACGCCGAGTGTTTGCACACCCATCCATCCTAATTAGTCAGCCCCCCCGCCGTACCCGTCACTGAGCATAATAATATCAGCCCTGCTTATAGACAAGGTAGCAGATGCCAAGAACAGAGCTCTTAACCCGAACCGCCTCTGACTTGAGCCCTCACCGTTCGATAAACTAAATTCAAGATAACGTAGCTCAGAATTCCAGGGTCTATTTCAAACTGGGTTTCGCTGGTACCATGTACCTTTGGGTCCCTTCCCCCGACATGTAATTTTCCCTCACCTAGCGTCACGCCACTCTGATTCAGAAACTGGAGTCGCTGTGACCTCCGGAAGGAGGGTGACGCTGAGGCCAGAACCCACGTGAGGGGTCGAAGACCGTGCTTCTAGTCCTGGTCCAAACGACAGTCCTCAGGCCAAACCGGCCAGGCATGTTCGTCCGCGTGTCGTCTGCTTCTGCACCCCAGTGGTGGAGATTCACAGAACCGAAAATACTATCGGCCCTTCACAGCAAGAAGTAGCTGAGCCCTGAGCAGTCTGTGCAGGAATGAGACCAGAAAGTCTCGGGAAAAGATAGGCTTGCTAGGACTGTTTGGGAACAATGAAGTGGCCTTGGGATGCTGGGGATCCCTTACGACTTCCGCCCCAAAAGAAGTCTGCTTTCCTCAGCTCCCTTACATCCCACTCTCAGAAAGACCCCCGTCCAAGGACCAGGGAAACTTGGCAAACAGCCCCTTCTCTGGCAACAGCCCCAGTCGCCAGTGCCGGGCAGGAGAAAGGCGCCCTCTTCAGCAGCCTAGCGTGATCCGGGCAAACCACTAAAGTGGGTCCTAGTGACTGGAAAGAACTAAGGTCCCACCTTATGGTTTATAGAAATACAGCCCCCCCACCTGCCGTGCACGGTTTCATTACCCACGGTCACCCCTGGCGGGAAGGTGGATGGCCCGCCGTCTGACCCGTCAGAAGGTTCATCAGTAGCCTCCCGCCCCGTCGCCGTGCCCGCGTCCTTCACCTCTCTCCATGTCATCACCTCACATCATCACCAGAGGGATGAGTTCAGTAAGATTCTGTGGGAGAGCTCACATTCCCGTAACTGTCGTCTGGGTACATTGTTGTGATGGTCGTCGGTTACTATTAGTTACTGTTGCTAACCTCTTCCTGTGCCTAATTTATAATTAACTTCATCGTGGGTGTGTACGTATAGGGAGAAACAGGGTTCACACTATTCGCAGTTCCAGGCCCCTGCTGGGAGCTCCGGATGGTATCCTCTGCAGATACGGGGCACTTCTATACACAACCACCTTCCAGTACAGCGGATGACACGATGCGAAAGGCGCAGTTGAGTCCGTGCGTTCAGCGGTTATTTACAGACAGCTTCCTGTGTGTTATGTGCTAGGGTCTCTTCTAAGACTGGAGAAACAGTGAACAAAAGTCAAATCCCTGTTCTGGGGGATTTGAAGGTAGCGGATGCCAAGAACAGAGCTCTTAACCCGAACTCCCTCTGACTTGAGCCCTCACCGTTCGATAAACTAAATTCAAGATAACGTAGCTCAGAATTCCAGGGTCTATTTCAAACTGGGAGGAATAAGCTGGGAGGACATAGGCAAGTAGTTAATCAACAAGCACCCAAGATTATTTCAAAGTGGTAAGTGGTATTGGGGAGGCAATGAATCAGGATGATAGTGACTGGGGGACAGCGGACACTGGGGGACAGTGGGGGACATTGTCACCTGAGTGGTCCAGGAAGGCTTTTCTGTGGAAGTGACATTTGAGGTGAACCTGAACTATAAGAAAGCCGGTCACCTGACTATCTGGAGTGAAGGAGCCTGGGGGCCGCATCTGGCTGGTGGCAGGAGCTGGGAGACCGTGTGCAGTGGGCCTGGCTGGGCCCCGGAGCCAGGTGGCCGGTGGACCAAGGAGGCCTGGGAACCGGGGTCAGGATAATTAGCTTCCACACGGCCCTGTTCTTTCCAGAGAAAACGGATTGCTTCTTGCGCCTGTAAACACCAGACAGGCAAAATTTTCAAATGCTATATGCTTCCTCCCCAAGTCAGAGCACAATAGTCTACACTTAAAAAGATGAGCAGGTTTTTAGTTGACTTACTTAATGCCAACTTGTGTCTTTTAAATTCTGCTTTGCTGATGAGCATAAAGGCTTTGAAAATGATGGACTAATAAAATGCTTAGTTTCTTAAACCAGAGTTTTATTCTATTTTTGTTTGCTTTTAAAAGCCAATAATACTGGGGCTCCTGGGTGGCTCAGTCATTAAGCGTCTGCCTTCGGCTCAGGTCATGATCCCGGGGCCCTGGGATCAAGCCCCGCATCGGGCTCCCTGCTCCGCGGGAAGCCTGCTTCTTCTCTCCCACTCCCCCTGCTTGTGTTCCTGCTCTTGCCTATCTTTCTGTCAAATAAATAAAATCTTAAAAAAAAAAAAGTAATATCAATACAACATTTAAAACAACATTTGACAGTTTGTTAAATTGTCCTTAAAAATAATATAAATTTTCATTATCACATTACTATGAACTTGTAATTAAAGATAATTAAAAATTGGAAGCTTCCAAATACAGACTGTTAAATTCAGGTGTTTTTACTACCATTTTACTTTCTGTGCATGAAGAGATTTTTTTTTTTAACTAGTATGTTTGGTTCCTAACTTTATCACTGATTATTATTTCATAAGAAAATTTTCATTTTTATGTTGTTTTCATACACATCACTATAAGGAGTTACACATATTCCAGAATATAAGTGAGTTATAATTAATTGCTTCCTTTGCTGGACCCATGGATTATTTCCATATGAATAGTGTTGCTGTGAACATCTCCATACACCAGCCTGAGCTAAAGGATGATTTTTTCAGCACAGATTTCCCAAAGAGGAATTAATATGTGAAAGGGTGCACACATTTAAAGTCTTCCATACACTTAAAAGCATTTTCACACTGAGGCCCTCCCTGGATCCTGACACTGGTGTGGTCCGTAGAACAAGTTCCAACCTCGTGTTGTAGATGAGTGCACGGAAAACCCAACACATGAAGGGCGTTGCCCAAACTTGTTAGAAGCTAGGATTCCTCACCCAGCGTCCCAAGTCCTCACGATTCCCTGCGGTTCAGCCCAAATGGAAGGAAATGTGGAAGAAACCCTATCTTGAACTTCACCATGTTTTGAAACACACTTGACCCTGAGTTTTAAGTTCTTAATTCTCAAGAAGGATGCCAGGCACGCACACTGAACAAAGAGCTGGAGTTAGGGAGCCAGGCCACGAGGTCTCTATTATTTTACTCTCTCCAACACTGAAAGAGAATCAGAGAGAGAACCATGGGAGAGCCAACCCTAAAACCCTGTCATTTGAACAACGGGCAAGTGGGGAGCAAATAGGACAATTCTGGGGGGGTCCTAAAACTCTTGACCCAACAGCGTCAGATGTTGAGCCAACAACACCCAAGGGTTAGAATTCACACAAATGGAACATCTAAGTGCCTCCCTGGACGTTTGGAGTCTGGAAAGATGTGAAAACCTTGTCCATAACTTTGGCAAGAAAGGTCTCAGAATAACTTGGGCCCTGAGTACTCAGAACATCTGATAAGTCTTCAAAGAAACAAACTTGCATATTTTACCTAAAGAAAAAGAGCCCGAATATTAACTGAACATGTACTCTGAGCCTAGAACTGTATTGAACAGAACTAGGTACCGTTTTCATCCTTTTATGGATAAATCTTTTGACCTGCAAGTCTGGCATCTTCTACATATTCTAAAGAAAAAAAACATTTTATTGTAGAATTATATATGTTCAAGTAGAAAAATTATAAAACATAGGTAACAAAAAAGAATCCTTTTCAGTTCCATCACTAAGATAAACCACTACTCATCCCTTCATCGATATTTTTCAAAACACTTTGCTATGACTCCGGGCTGGGACTAGGTTGCAGGAATGAGGCAGGATTGGACTCCATCTTTATTTAAAATATTGATGTTTTGTTCATCGTGGATTTCTTTGCATCAATTTTGATTTTTTTAATGTTGCATTAAGTATTGCTATTCTTGAATACTGAGTTTTTGGCGACCCCTGTCTTCCTCACCCTGGTCCAGGTTTACAAGCATACATCAGTGTGTGTATCCATACGCACACACTTTTCTTTACAAACAGGGCTTATCCTGTAAGAGTACTTGTAAATCTATTTCCACGTAATGTATCATGAGCATCTTCTCTCATAGGACCATATTTTGTAAACCAAAATTAGAACACAGCATGCATCACACATCACCTAACAAGGGAACAAAATATTTGAAATCCAAACTGTCTCAGCTATGGAACATCTGGCCCTTTGCACTGAGCTTATCTCTTAAAGAGTGTAACTCAGACTTACAGCGAGTGCTCTGTCCTCACAGCATCAACTTGAGCAAAGAGGAATGGCTCCGAAAATGTCATCCTGCAAAAAAGATCAGAAACGTAAGATGCTTACTTACAATGGCCCACCCAGAGCTGGGAATGAAACCTCATAGCCCCAGCCATTTCCAGCGCCCCTCACCGAGGCTCCAGGGCTGGGGCTCCACGCTGCCCCCTTCTCCTCCCCTTGGGTCCTCATCCCAATAAGATTCTCGCAAGGAACCACCACTAGGGAAGTGAGTTTCCCTGGCCAACAGGGCAGGGGTGGGGGTGGAGGGGGGCAGTGAGGATCGGGTGACCCCCCAGGAGCACCTTGCCCAAACAAGCCAGCTTGTTTAATTAGTAATTAAAAGCCTTGCTCCTTTTAATTATTTCCTGAACAACTACAATCCACGTTCACAGCAGAAAACTTTGGGATCTAGGAAAGGACGAAAAATAAGTTGTCACCCCATGGTATTACAACCCAGAGGTAAACAAGTCTGATACAGACCTATTTCTTTCCATTATTGATGTTACTCGTGTTCATACAAATTACATGCATATGTTAATTATCAATATATCAGTTGACATCAATTTTCAATGTTAATTTGCACATTAACCTTATATTAATATACGTAGATAACAAACAGGAGTATAATATGTATACATATATAGGGTTTGATTTATTTTTGAAATTACGATTTTAATCTGTATAAAGACTTCACCTCTATATTGTCATTATACCGAGTGCATTATTCCATGCCATTAAATATTTTTCAAAAATGGGATCTTAGAGGTCTAGTACTACTTCATATGAATATGTAATAATATATCCAACAAATCCCCTATTCTTAGATATTAAGGTTGCTCTCAATGTTTTATTATCTATTGAATATAAATATGTACATATAGAATAAATCATACACATAATTTATATAGAAATATATAATGTGATAGACAAATATTTATGTGCACCTTGTGTATGATATATAAATATAAAATTTTACGTAAAATAAAACATACACATAAATCTGCATCTGCTCTGTGTTTCCCTGAAATCAGGTGGGCAGTCGAAACCCCTGGGCCAGCAGCCGGCTCTGGTTCTCACCCCACCCAGGAAGTCCTGGAAAAGTGTCTTGAATGATAAATTTAGAGGTTTTAAGCCTTAATGTGCACATGAAAAGCTTATAATCTGTGGGTAATTTTACTCGCCTCTGGGGACAAAGGGCCAGTCGCGGAAGGCTGCCCTGGGAAGACAGACAGGTTCAAGCCCACGCTCTGCTCGCTGAGCGATGGAAAGCCAGCAGGGAAATGGACGGCCGTCTGCCTTTGTATAAGATGAGAGGCTGCAACAGAAGGCCTCCAAGCGTTAAAAACAGATCCATCTTGCATAATGTACAAGGAAAACATGGTACCAGTGACTGCCTTCTTGGGAAATAGTCTAGTCTTGGTTTTGCAAATTTGGTCAAGATTTCAATGACAAATGCTCTGTGGGGAAAGTGTTCACATTAACTTCCTTCCGTTACTTTTTCCTCTTAGAATAACTAGTCCTTATAGGAAAACTGTAAAATGCAAGTGAGTAAAAAAAGAAACTGTTACAATCCTCACCACCCAGACATAACCATTGTTAATAACGTGGCATCTCTGTCGAAGCTTTATCTAGGCGAATATATTTAATACTTTTCAAAGATGGGAGTACTCGGTCCACGCTATCTTTAGCTTGTCGAGAGTACCGTCCCCTTCTCTAACCTGAGCGTGAGTCCCTCCCAGAGACCTGCCGCAGACATGTCAGCCTGCCTCTCCGTTCCAGGCGTATCTTGACAAGTATTACACCAGGAAGGCAGGGCCCCAGGTTGGCGAGATGGGGGCGCCAGGAGGCAGAGCCCTGGTCAAGAAGATCAAGGAGCTGCAAGCCTTCTTCGGCCTCCGCGTCACCGGGAGGTTAGACCGGCCCACGATGGACGTCATCAAGAGGCCTCGCTGTGGAGTTCCCGACGTGGCAAACTATCGCCTCTTCCCAGGTGAACCCAAATGGAAAAAAAATACTTTGACATACAGGTAATGAGATGGAGTCTTCCCAAAGTCAGAGAGAAACACCCTCTCTCTTTTTCCTTTCTTTTAGAAATCTCTTCCTTCCGTTCTGTATACAAGTCCCGACTCATCACAACCATAAGGAAGGCTTTTTAGGGCTCAGCTTTAGACAGGGACATTGGAGGACTCGCTACAAAATATGATGTCAGGATTATCCTAATGACTGGCCATTTCGGGCATTACAAACAATTTTATCAATTAGAGACAACACACTTGTCTTTCAAGAAAAATAACCTAGTTTAGGATTAATAACAGTACCAACCAGTTTTTTTAAAACAAGTTCCTCAATCAGAAGGAAACAATAAAACTCACCTATTTAAGTAATTTTTTTATTCCAAAAATAATTTATTGTTGACTTATTAAATGTCTACTGTAGACGTTTGAGTTTTGGAGATACAAAGGTGAGTCGATCCTGTTCCCTGACCCTCACAGCCCCTTTCGGGAGACACACAAGCAAACAGATCCTCGTGGCTCCCCGTGACAGGTGTGAGCCTGAGGGTCTAAGCAGAGAACCGTGGTAGCACCCAGAGGGAGCACGGGGACCCACCGCTAGGCCGGCTGGCCTCCTTCCTGGGGGACCCCCTCCACCTGCGGGTCAGCTTGGAGGCGGTGGACCCTGCTGTACGCCTGGGCCTTGCACCTGCTGGACAGATGTGGCCTTGCAAATGGGTGGCCTGTGCATGCGTCTTAGCCCTGGGGCCTGGCCAACGGTGAGGGTGTTCCCAGCGCAAGAGGAGTCCGGCAGCTAAGGGTGTGCAGTGGGGTGGCCCAGCGGGCAGGTGCCGCCCAGGGCAGCCGAGAGCCAGGCCAGGCGTGGGGCCGGATTTTGCTCTTAGGAAGAGCACAGCTGGCCGAGACCTGGGGACGGGGCGAGGCCGGGCTGTTCCAACAGTCCCCGCAGGGCTCACAGAAGCCGTTCCAACAGTCCCCTCCTCACAGCTCACAGAAGCCGGTCTCGAACCTGTCTGGAATTTTGCAGCCAGTTGTTAACCGCCCCAGCCTCTTGCAAGCTGGTCGCTAAACAGAGCCATTATTAAAAATTAAGCTCTTCATCCCTGCAATTAAATAAATTATATTTATACACCAGCCATTACGTATTACCTTGTGGATGTTATATGGAATCAAAAACAAAAGGTGATCAAACTTTGCCTCCTGATCACTCTACCACACTTTGCTACTGTCTGTGTTCATGAGGCTGTTCACCTTTTTATCCCGCGTTGGGAGCCGCGTGCTGCTACTCCTCTCTTCCCAACTACCTGTGGGGCCGGAGGGCGGCTTGAAATTACCACCAGGGAGAGCGTTGCAGAATGGGCATCAGCAAAGCCCTCAGATGAGAAAGTCTGGTCGCAGAGCCTGTTGTCAAACTGCAGCAGCTCAGCAGCAGGTCCTGAGTCCCTGGGGTCGAGCAAGGGCCCCGGAGCCCCCGAAGGCTCCTCCAGGCCGCACGTTGGCGGCGACCAGCCTGAGTCCATAAGGTGGCGCTCCAAACACAGTTATCACTGCGCTTACGCCCAAGAAGGCCACGAAAATCAGGACATTTGGGGAAGAAGCGCCCCATAAGGAGTTGAACAGGAAAAACGTATATAAATCCATGAAGTCTTTCCCTTTATTTTCTTAAAGTGTATCACAGAATTTTAGTCTGTAACGATGCGCAGCATAGACAAGGGGAATCCATCAAGCTGACTGGAGACTCAGAGAAGTGTATTATTGTGACAGGGTTCAAAGCCCCCTCAGCACACTCACCCAGCCCATCCACTCGCCCCTGAGCAGCTCCCCTGCCCCCAGAAAGCAAGCAAGCAAGCACAGAACGCGCTGGACGCTATCCAAGTACTCAGAATAACCTCTTCTAACAGAACCCAGGGGATTAAAATAGACAAAATACAGCTTAGTGCTTATGTGCAGACGTTTGGAGTCAGAACTGGGCTCCAGTCCTGACTAATCATAAAATGCACATCATCATTACCTGTTAAGGTCGTTGTGAAGACGGGGCACGCCCGGGCCCGTGTCTAGCGCGGAGTATGGGCTCACAGAGTATTTACAGTTACCCCTCTTGTGTCCTGGGTCTCCAGGTGCGGACTCTGTGCTCCTTCCCTCTCCACTGAGGGTAGCTATTTACCATACCCTCTGTGGGATCCGGTCCCTGCCCTTCAGGCCCCTAGGATCGCCCTGGTTGGTTCCTGGTGGAGGCAGCCCCACCTCTGTCCGAATCACCCGGGATACCTGTTGAAATGCAAGTCTATGGGTCACACCTGTGTGTGCATTTACCCAGCTTCTCAGGGAGTCCTCACAGGGGCTAGAACTGGACCGCCACCCGGAAGGCCTGAAACACCACTAGCTTTTATTCCGGAGTTCATCCGTGTAGCAAGTGTTTGCTAAGCACCTACAAGGTGCGAGGGGTGGATGAGGAGCTGGAGAGCGAAAGCAGGGCAGGTGTCTGCTGCCCGGGTTGGCGCTCGCCCTCATCCAGGGTGCTGGCTGCGCCCGAGGTCCCGCCGAGGCCCCGGGTGGTAGCTCCTTGTCCCTGCCCTCCCTCCGCCTGCTGTCAGGAAGCCCCAGCCCCTGCAGCCTGGGGCAGCGCGTCCTACCAGGACCTCATGAAAGACTCAAGCCAATGCTTCGTCTTTAAGATACACATTATTTTAAGAACAAGCATCCCCTCCACCCCCACCCCCGGGGAAATCCCAGGTGGCCTTTGAATAAGAATGTGCAAAACCTCAAAACTCAATTCTTTACAATTGAAAATTTTCAGTCCCTTTTGGGGAAAAAGAGGTCCCTTCTCCATTAAAGCCATTTTAGGGGAAATGGGTTCTTGCTCCTTGTGAAATGACCCCAGGTTATGGTCTTTAAAATTCGGGATAATCTCGTAACAAGGAGAGCCCAGCCATTTCAGCGGCAGGTGATTTCCCGATTGCTCCTCACAGTCCAGTAACGTAGCAAATACAAAAGCAAAACAAGCATTACCGTTTGGGAGAAAAATTCCCCCATCACAGATTCACGTTGGCCCTTGCGACTGTTGATACGGCCTCAGCGGAGGGCTCACGGAGGAAACCGTGTTCCTTCTGTTTTTGCAGAATCTCCAAATACACGCCCTCCATGACCTCCGCGGAGGTGGACAGGGCGGTAGAGATGGCCTTGCAGACCTGGAGCAGTGCGGTGCCGCTGAGCTTCGCCAGGGTGAACGCGGGAGAGGCCGATATTATGATATCATTTGAAACTGGAGGTACTGGGCACTTCTTGGATGTTCCTCCTGATCCACGGGACACACGTCCCCGCGCGTCTCCTTCAACCCGTAACGCGAGCAATCAGCGCGATCCTCATCCACACACAGTGTGATGGGCAGAGCTCAAGGTCACGGCAAGGTCATGAGTGCGTCCCGCCAGGACCTAGACCCGGGGGGTTCTCAGCATGTCCGGTCATGCTGGACGGGGCGGGAGAGTGGATCCGCTCCTTCCCGTTGGCTAGGAGGCCAGCCGACCTCGTTCCCATGGCCATACTCACGGCTCTCCACCGCCTTCCATACCCAGGAGCCTCCCACCTCGAATCCCCACTGAAGGAAGTCCACGCCCCGGAGGCCCTGACCACGCTGGGGCAGCGCACCCCCTGCTCACCCTGGCAAGGAGTGGAGGCCTAACTGGCCCTTTCCAGAGCCGCCTGTCTAGGGAGCAGACCAACCAAGGGTCACAACATTCCTTGATTTCTCAGCTTCCAAGTAGCTGCGGGGAGGGCGCACCCCGGCCTCCTCCCGCCAGACACCCTTGCTAAGGGTCCCGGTTACTTTAAGTCTTGATCTTGAGTTGAGGCTCAGGTCCCGGGAAGTACATGCTCAGAAGCCAGGGGAGAGAAGGTGACGCAGGTCCTGAGTATGAGCCCTTCAGAGGCGGCCCTGCGTGTGACCTGGCCCGTGGCGGGTCCTGTTCCCCCCGGACAACAGGGCCACCCCAGTGACGTGGCTCCGCAGCTCATGGCAGCTTTGGAGGCCGTGACGTTGGCATCAGCCTCTCTCTCGATCTTGCCCGCTTGCGCCCTTTCCCCTCCAACACAGGCTGAGCGGGGGCTGTGCTGCGTGTCCCTGGGTCCTCAGAGCCCACCATCCAGGAACCCGGGCACACGGCGCACCAGAACCCTGTGAAAAACCGGGAAACATGGCTTCTACAACGTGCCTCGTTTTGTTCTCTCTCCTCTTTTATCAAATTTATAATAAACTGTTAATTAAATATAAGCAAAACAAAAACATAGAAAGCACTAAAAGCTATGATTTTATAGACACCTTTGTTGCTTGCATGAGCTTGATACAGGAAAGCACATTGAAATTCCAGAGCAACTTTCTCCTTTTGGATACGTCTGCGCATTGTACTGCACGGTAGAAACAGAAAGCACACACATTTGCTCGATGTACCATTGCTGTCCTAGCTGAATCAGACAATAAATGCTCAGCCTGCTCACACACACACATTCCAGCCTGTAGGGGTTGCTTGCTATTTCTTTTGTAAGACATTTGTACACGACGTAGGCATTGCAATAAAAACAGTCACAAAAGAACATTTTTTATTTTAAATGCTAACTGTCTTTGAAATGCCAAATATCCCTCTTAATTTTTCAATGGACGATTACTCGTTGACATGTAAACTTCTTATACAAAATGAATATTAGAAAGTAAATCTATTTGTATGAGAAGTGCCAACACTATTAAAAAAAAAAAAAAAAAAGGTGTCCATTCCCTGTAATGTGAAGCATGTCCCCAAAATTGCTAGAAGGACTCATGGCTGTTGGCGTTTCTCCCCACCTCTTTAGATCACGGGGACTCCTATCCATTCGACGGCCCTCGAGGGACTCTCGCCCACGCATTTGCACCTGGGGAAGGCCTGGGAGGCGACACCCATTTCGACAATGCTGAGAAGTGGACTATGGGAATGAATGGTATATATGCACAATTCACCATAACCTGGAAAATATTGTACCTTCTTCTGGGCCTCCACCATGAAACCCCGAGGTTCAACGTCCCAAGCCACCCTTTAACTAGGGAGGCTGGCTAGGAAAAACAAGTAAGCCAAAATTCCAAAAGGGAACACCATAAGGGAAAAGACCCACCCTCACGTGTGTTGTAGACCTGTCTGAACTCTGGTTCATGCCTATGATCTCGAGGAGCAGCGACCCCACCTCCCCACGGCTCTCTTTCTTTACGTAGCATTTACTGTCTCTTACATGTACTTGGAAATAGGCTCTGTTCAGAGATGACACTTCATCTCCTGCGAAGTGTGATGGGAATGGGTTTTAAAGTCCCAGGATATCGTGCCCATCATCTGCAAGTCTTCCCTGTGAAATGTGTGTGGACGACAGGGGGTAGCGTGTCATGGCAGGGATCTGGTGAAGCATCTTCAGTCTAATCTGGGTCTCATTGCCCCTGGTGGCTCTAATTAGGTCCTTCTGTGTCCAGCATGGCTGACGAGGAACAAAAGGATTGATTTACATTTCCATCCTTCCCCACCCCAAAGCCCCTTCTAGCCAAGGGGGAGAGCGCTAGAGTATCGTCAGCAAAGCTCAGCACCCGAATAACCTACCAACCTTTGAAGAATCTGGTTATGAAAAGAAAACAAATTTACTGTGATTGGGGCATCGATTCTCCTGTTAAGACAGAAAATACTGAAAACAAAACCCCGTGTCGATGCTGTATTTTTCTGTCTCCTATTGTGCAGGTTTCAATTTATTCACCGTTGCTGCCCACGAATTCGGCCACGCGCTGGGCCTGGCCCATTCCACAGACCCATCAGCACTGATGTACCCAACGTATAAGTACCAGCATCCCTATGGATTCCACCTGCCCAAGGATGACGTGAAAGGGATCCAGGCCTTGTACGGTACAGTCACTACCCTTCCTTGGCTACTAACCCTGAAAGCCACAGGCATTCGGTCTCCAACCTAGAGAAGGTATGTGTTGCCAGGAGTTACCTGCACAGAAAGGCCAAGCTAGGGACCGTAGCCCCACCTGTGCCCTTTTATGAAGAGATTATTCAGCAGCTATGAATACAGCTTTCTTTTCTAAGATGCACGATTCAATTGTACATCTTTCTTCCAGCGCACATTGGTTCCTCAAGAGCCATAGAAAATGCAATCATCTGTCTGGGTTTTTGGTAGTTTGGTTTTGTTTGGGTTTGGTTTTTTTTGAGCATGGGTCAGAATTTAGGTAGCAGGAGAGGATGGGTACATTTTGTAATTCCTATATGTGGTTCTCACCCGTCTGCAGATCATTGACCTTATATCTTCCTAAAAACGGTGAGGGTGATGTTAATGCCTACACGGCATGGATGGCCTGCCCCTTAGCACACAGGTTCGGGGGCGTCACCATTCCTGCCAGGGTGTCCCTCCCTGAACGGCGGAGAAAGCTGACAAAGACAGCAAGCATCCCAAGATAATCACAATTATCTCAGGAGTTAGGTTTCTAACTAAGATAACTCTGCAAGTTGTCTTTCAAAGATAAAGAATTATTGGAAGCTCTATACCCTGCCTTCCTCACCAGAGGCCCTGAGCGGGAATCCTGGAGCACTCCGACCCTCACCCTTTTGCTTTCACGGATCAAAGGCAGACAACCCCGGGAACCAGGTTTTCCCCTTAGCCTCAGAGGCTGGTTCCTCGGCCTGCACTTGTCGGAGGCTCTCGGCCCCCCTCAGCCCAGAGGGTTGGCCAAGCCGCCTCGAGATGAGCGCACCTTCTGCGGACAGCACCTGAGGCGAGGGAGACCCATCTCCTCCAGGGAAGCGTTCAGCCAGCTTCCCCACTGCAGAGACAGGATCCACGTGAACTCTGTCCCGCCTCTGAGTGACAGAGACCGGGGCCATGAATGTCTCCGTTGCACAGACTTGGCTCCCGAGCACCAAGTGGCCCGGTGACAAGGTGAAGCAATTCCCGCAGGCCAGCGAGAAGGCCTGAGCCCCAGTGCTCGCCTGCGCCTTACAGATCCTTCCGTACTGGAAGGTCACTGCCATGCTGACGGCCACGGTCACGGGGCCAGGGAGCACACACCTCGCCCAGCCCTGGCCACCTCTGACCTTAGCAGGCGGCTTGGCACATAGTGTTCAAAGACCGCAGCACATTCCTGCCCTTCCAGTGTCTGATCTTTTCCCAAAGCCTCGCCCCACTGCTGACCCTGCGCCACCCCAGAGCTTACCCAGCTCTCTCTCTCATGGGTCCTCCCTGTGCCTCACTCCCTCTGGGCACCACGGGGACTTACTCAGGAGCAGAGACCCGCGCAGCCCTAGCTCACTTCTCGCCGATGGCAGAGAAGGCCTCAGGAGCACGGAGTGGGATGAAAACCCCCCAGCAGCTCTCCCCAAGGAGCAGGCCCCTGCTTTACAGAAGGATCCAGCGCGCACCTCCAGGGGACCTCCTTGCCACAGGAACTCACTCAGTGTTTCCCGGGTGCCTGATAAAAGGCTCATCCGTGCATGATGCCCGGAAGTCGATGAAAATAATACGAAAACACACAGGGAAGTTGCATCTGATTGAGAACAAAGAATTTAATTACCGGGAAATAATAAAACAAAAGTGGCAACTTCTAATTAATAAAAAAATAAGAGTGGCAACTTTTTAAAAACCTCTCTGATTTGGCGCCCCAAACTTTCGGAGAAGTTCTGTGTGACAACAAAATAATGGGTACCATTGTTTAACAGTTGCGATGTGCCAAGCGCTCTCCCAAGCGCTTCGCAGACTTGATTTCTCAGAACCCGCTGAGGCGGGTACTGTCCTCGCCCCTCCCATTCCACCAATGAAGAAACGGAGGCTTGGAGAGGCTCACGGATGCGCCCGTTTATCAGGCAACTCAGGGACTAGCGAAGCTGGGGTTCGAACGCGGGTCCACCTGCTGCAGACAGCCACGCGCCTTGTCACCTGCCATTCAGCCCACGGGGGTCTCTGGGGCAGGAGGGGACACGCGCTAGGTTCCTGGTTCCATTTTGACCCAGTCACTTTGAATCCTAGGACCCCGGAAAACATTCCTGGGAAAGCCCACGGTGCCCCACGCACCGCCTCAAAATCCATCCAAGCCGGACCTCTGTGACTCCAGCTCCCCCTTCGATGCCGTGACCATGCTGGGGAAGGAGCTGCTGCTCTTCCGGGACCGGTAAGCCTCAGATGCGGCCCCGCGCGAGGACCGTGCGGAGGTGCCGTCCTGTGCGGCACCAGGGTGGGGGGCACAGGTCTCTGCAGAGCCACAGAACTGCCCAAACCACCGCCTAGGGGGCAGCTGCCACGCTCTTGGCACTGGGCACCGTGTTCTCCATACTCGTGAGGTCCTTCTAACCCTTTCACTGTGAAGGAGAGATTAGAATCCCCGATTTACAGATGCAGAAAGCAGCTCAAAGAGAGCAAGGTGCTCTGCTGAGGTAAGAGTTTCACTGAGTGGCTGAGTTCAACACCAGCCCAGATTTATCTGATGTCTGTTTTGTCCATCACTGTATCCCTAGTGAGAGCACACAGTATAAGCTCAGTAAATATTCAGTAATGGGGGTTGGGTAGATAGACAGAGGGACAGACGGATGGATGGAGGGATGGATGGATGGATGGATGATCAGAGGGATAGGTGGATGGACGGATGGAT